CGAAAGAATGGCTTTGCACCCCCGCCCGAACCCAAAAACCCCCACAACCCAACAGCTTCGCAGACATCAAGACGAATGGAGAACAATCATTTAAAAGAAGAGTAAGAACGATCACTATCTTATGGAGAAGTCCATCCATCCATTTATGGTGCTTTTCTTCTGCCAAGCCACACGGCACATTCCTGACCCGATGTCACGAGAGCATCGCAGAGAGTGGTGTTGAAGTGGAAGACCTCAGCAGGCTTGGTCGGTTCGACGCTAGGGCTCCGAACGCCCCATCTCCGGTGCGGTGGTGTCCGACCACCCTGGCACCCACCCACCCCAACCATCGAACCGAAACGGAGATGGTTGGAGCCCTAGGGATTCAACGACGTGCGTTCTTATAGTTGTGCACAACATCACATCAACTCACTGCCGGAATTGCCCGATGGCGACGAACCAAACCACGAACGACCTGAACGCGACGATCGCGACGACGACGACACGACGACGTCACTGCTTGCCGTGACCGTTCCTGGTGGCGGAATCCGACCAGTACCGCCGAGCTACAGGCATGCAGTCGTTGATGCGGCGGCAAAAAAGCACCTCAAAAGGGAGCGCATAGGAGCGCCATTCGCACTCGGGCCGGGACTTCCCAACCCCTGCAAAAACTCGTATGTTTGAGTCGCACACTATGCTTGGAGTAGTGGATTCAAGATCTCAGATTTCAGAAGAAAGCTCTTCGATCCAGGTAGATTTTAGTCGCAAACAATACAGTTGCAGTGGCTCCAGGTTCCAGATTCCAGATTCAATGTATTGTTGGTCGAAGAGTTCTATCATGTACATGTATGTGTATGCGGCACCACAAGCTTTGGCTCCGCATGCAAACGCGGCTTCCTCACAAACGGAGAAGAAGGTCCGGCGTGGGATTTGTGGCGGCATCCTTTTTGGAGGGGGGGTCTTTCTTTTGGGCCCAGAGCGAAAGTGAGTCCCAAAACGATGAACTTTGAGCTTTTTGGCAGCACTGCTCTGAGAAACGGATGCCATTTGGTGGGGACCAAATGGCAAAACCGCTCGGAGAAAACGGTCCTTTCCCCTCCCCCACCGGTCCAAACGGACGACGAACCGAAGACAGTCGGCCAAGCCGTTGGAGGTCCGACTTGCCGGAGGGTCTGAGGGGTCGTGCTCGAGCAATGGATCTGGTGGCCCTTTAGATCTGCGAGGTCTCTGTAGATCTGAGCAAGGGCCAAGGGTGGCCAAGGGCAGAGCTTTTTGTTTGAAGGGGGGCATGGTCTCGGGGTACTAAGCATGGTAGTGGAACAATCTAGATGCACAGGTTCCTGCCGATCTAGCCACTTGCACGACAAACATACCAGAAGTTTTTTCAAGTACGGTTGAAAACCCTCAAGACTCTGGCAGTCCATGATTGTCCTGCCGTTTGGCCCATAATCAAATCAAATGTGAAAAAGGAGCAGAAAAACGTCCAGTGCTTCGCTACGCTGCTGGTGAACACACACCCACCGAGCGGCTCGTGCATCGATCCCGATTTCAGCTGGGTCCTGTGTCCGGCGTTGTGTCGTCTCGGTGAGAGGTCCGTTCCATCGGTTCGCTCGGTACATCGGACCAATGCTTCCGCTTCAGCTCTCGCGTGACCAGTCTGCTCTGCGTTTGAATCTGCCGGACCAAACACGCGAAAAGGAAGAGCCTATCACCAGGCTGTCCTGAATCAGTGCATCTTTGGAGAGTCGACCAAGCACTTCCACCGTGAGCTTTTCATTCGTGTGCGGCTGCTGCGGCGAGAGCCTTTTCGCGCGACAGAGAGATTTTTCAACCGAATGATGCTCAGAGCGGTCGATTCAACTTGATTCCCTCCAAAACCCAAGCAGCTAGCCGGGTGACGAAGTGATGAAGTCATGAGGTGTTGAGATGATTTGGGAAAATCCGTGGGATGAGGTGATGAGGTCACTCTGCAGTCAAATGTTCCCAAACTTGCCAAGTCAGTGGGTAGCCCACTGGTGGGACCGGACCCAAACCGGTGAGCGAAGCATGGAAGCTGGTTCCACAGCACCCTGAGTTGGGTGGCCCAGGGACATGCTGACCTGGAATTGACCTGGAACTGTCTCTTCGAGATGTGGGCCTATGTCGCCACCAAGAGTGAACCACAGAACGGCCCTATGGATCCCTATACATCCTATGATACCCTATGGATCCCTATGCCCCCAAAAGAACTCCAGCCTGGACACTGGACATCATTTTTGGCACCGATCCCCTGAGCCCCTCCCTTCATTGGTGCGAAACCCGCCTCACCAGGTCGACCTCGGACAGTCACGTCTCTGCGGCTCTCGGGCGCGCTCGCGGACGCTCGGGCGCAGGGGGTGCGTCCGTGATGAAATGGGGTGTCTTGGGATTTGGTGGCTGGGGAAGTGAGACATGTTACGGAGACCAAACCCGCTTCTCATGCTGAACGCGATGGCCGGTCCAGCCCAATCATGTCCCTATTGCATGCCGTGCTCTGTAGAAAGTCAAAAAGTGAATTTCCCTCCACATCATGAATTTCTTCCGGACAAACAACATATTATTGTAAAGACACTTCAATCCCCACCCTGAGGAGCGATTTGATAAAAGGCCGGAACATGCACATGTATTGACAGAACATGTGGACTGACACAATGTTGTTCTGACGTCCTTGTTGGTATTGTTCTGACCTTTGTCCTGCTGTGAAGTCTGACACGTGCTGTGACATATGGTCCGACTTCGGTCCCGGTATGTGTTTTGCCACGTATTCCGACATTTGCCATCAAACAAAAGTGTCTATCTTGCATAGATAATGGCATCCTATCTTGCATTCATTCTGGCATACATTCGTGCATTCTATTTGGCATATATTCTGGCATTCTTTCTGGAAATATATTCAAGCATTCTATCTATCTGGCATGTAATCTGGCATTCTTGTGGGCGGTTGAGGCCTGGTGGTGCCCGCCCACAGCGATCTAGCACTTGCGGTTGAGGTCCGGCGGTGCCCACTGCGATGTAGCACCGGCGGTTGAGGACCAGGCGGAGGAGGATGGACAGCTCTAATAAAATCTAACAACCCTCACCTGAAGGTGGGGAACAACGGGAACAATGCTCCATCCTTCCACCCCGTCCACGCCCCAAATCTGTCCACATCCATTCCGTTGATCCCAGAAGCGGTCACATTCTCGCTCCGACCACAGGCCACTGGCGCTTTGACCGCAGCCCCAAAAAGAAGGCTTGAAGCCTCGTCGGCGTCCACGTGTTGGGGCCACGGCGAGGTCTCGAACGAGTGGTCGTAGCGTTCGTGTGCCCACCGCCATGTTTGGGGGACGTCTTTGTTGAAAGACCGCGTCGCTGGAGGTTCACAAGGACCTCCATGAGAAAGACCAGGGACGTGGACGGACTTGAGGGGTCTTGCTATTCGAAGTCTCAAGTGGCGGACATGTTCTCCGTTGACCAAGTCCATTTCCATGGTGGTTGAAAGTAGGTCCTTTCAAAACAAATGCATTTTGTGGTAAGGGTCAGTCTTTGGTCCAGTGAATAATTCCTCTCTCAGTTGGTTCTCTTTATGATTCACCAACTTTGAAAAGGATCCAAACCCTTTTTTCATGCAAAAGAGTCCCAGAAACAGTTCAGTCCAAAAGCAGTTGAGTCAGGTGGACTTGAAACTGGCAAGGGCAACCATTGAAACTAATTCTGACAGCAGTCTTGGAAGCGAGTCATATGAAAACTATAGATGAGTCTACCAGTTATTTTTAGAAGGACCTTTGGAAGGACAAAAAGCCGAACTGGGTGGCGTTCAGAGTCGAAAGAGTCATGATGCACATTTAGGAACTCCGAAAGTGATGCTCGTTTCGACTCACTCGAGTGTCTCAAGTCAGATCCCTTCCGGACATGATCCGGACAATAGAATCAGAACTCCTGAACTCCTACGCGGTGGTCTTTGTACCTCTGAGAGCGATATCCAGCCTCTAGTCCGCAAAGCAACAACCTTTTGGGCTCCGTTTCCGAAACGCTGGCAGGTCGTGAGTCCCAAAAAGCAAGCGGCCCAAATGGCGAAGAGCCCCCAGCACCACATTGCTCGTGGTGGCGAGAGGAAGAAACGACTCCAAGGTTGAGCCGGAATAAAAGCAAAAAGAAAGAGGGGCTCGATGCCATTGGGGGGACACACCCACCAGACCCCGAAGTGAGAGTGGATGTGCATAGGAATACCCATTGGTTCCCAGAGGGCCCCGACAGAAGTACCAGGCACCCTTGCAACCACTTTTGGGGTTGAGAATGCTGAGAGTGGCTTGCTCGTTTTCGGGACGTACTACCAGCCGTAAGAACTTGTGCGAAGTCTGTGGTGTTCGTTGGAAAGAGAGAACAGTGGGCACTTCATGAGGTGTTCCTTCGTTTGTTTCAAAGGCCTTTATTAAGAGTCTTGAATCTTTGGCAGATGGCTATGATGTTCAACTGCAAGGTGCAAAGCAAAGGGCTGCGCTCAGTACTTGGTTTGAAGGTTGAGAAATGGTGACATGCGACGCCCTTGGAGCCAGAGCAGCACCGAGAAAAGCTTTGCCCACCAATCTCCATTCCGAAGAGGACATCGTGAAGCCCTGCTTCTGATTCGTTTTGCTGATAGGTTGGAGGCCATCGCTACTAGGGTGGAGGCTATCGCTACTAGGGTAGAAGCCATCGCTACTAGGGTGGAGGCCACCGCTCCTAGTCTTAGTCCTGTGGTACTTCAAAGTGCCCTAATCGGACGACATATGGCTCACCCCACGACAACCAAATGCTCGCGAAAAGACAGCAGCCTTCTTTGAACAGGAATTCTGATAATATAAATACCCTCTAAACCAGACATTGAATATAAATACCCTCTAAACCAGAATTCTGAGAATATAAATTCTGAGAATATAAATACCATGTCACTATAGATACATTGACAGTCCTGCTGCCCTGAACGTGCACCATTCTGATGATTCTCAATCGTTCGTCCATAGTCTTCACACTGCCGGCCCTGCCTCAGGAGCGCTGCCAGGCGCTTTAAGGGCAAAGTGATTTGCTGAAGTCCCTCAGCAATCTCACGAACAGACCCCTGAAACAACAATTCTGAACCCCATTTCGACAGTGAAGTTGAATGAATTGATGGAAAAGCGGCTGGGACTGGCTCGAGCATGGTGTCCCGTGCCAAGCATAACGTGGCAAGGGACTCAGCAGTAAGCGGTGTCTATCTCAGTCCATCTTGCCGTTTTGGGGGTTACACTCATCTTGAGGAACTCAGAGGTCAAGAGTCTGGCCATTCGCGACAAAATTATGGAAATCCCAGGTGTAAATAGGCATCAACTGCCATACTAGCCTCCCTCTTGCTTGGATTTGATTGCCCAATTACTTGACCAAAGGCCCGAAGCTATCGTTCCAACACTTCAAAAAGAACATCAAAGGGTCCTGCACTCGGTCCATCTGGATGAGTGCAGCGACACTCCTCGGACGAGCCAGACTACCTCCCAGGAGTCCCGACCATGTCCCGGTGTTCAACGGTTTCTACACTCCACCGGGATGGTCAACACCCGACACTGAATGTCATCTGCCTCCTCGTCCTCCTCCGCCTCCTCCTCCTCCTCCTCACCATCATCATCCTCACTGCCTCACCATCATCATCATCATCATCACCATCATCATCAGACTCATCGTCATCGTCACAAACCACCAACTGAACGCCGCGCTCCGTCTTTTTTCTTGGGGCGGTCCTGAACCCACGGTCACCGCCCCACGATGTCGGTCCGATTCAGGCCTCCAACGATTCAGGCCTCAGAGACGGTGCCACATCGATCCGGTCAAGCCCGTCTCTGCCTGTGCTACGTTCGGTTCGCGTCCGACCGATCGCTCCGTCCGTAGCGATGCTCGTTCGTTGTACGTCCTTACTTTCCCGAGTCACCGGAAGTCACGGGGGTCACATCGGGGGGGCGAAGAACCTCTGACGAAGAAAGAACGAACCAACGAGCCGGCGCGGCGCTTCGTGGTTCGGATGGCATCGTTTTATTGGTTGAAGCGACCGAGGCAATCTGCCGCACACGACAAAGGGGACGAAGGCCAGACCGTGCGATGCCATGGTGATGCCATGCAAGTGCCGATCAGTCGGGGTGGTGCCAGTGGGATCAATCGGAGACATGGAGTCTCTGGGATTGGCAGTCAATCAACCCAAATCAACAGGTATGTATAATACATAATCCAAAACTAACAGGTACAATGGCCATGTACTAACAAGCACCGCTTCTTGACCAATGTGACTTTGTCTCAGGACCCTGACTGTGCGTTGCACCCATCAGGATCTCTGAGGCACCTGCGTGGATTGTGCTTTGGCCCCCTTCATCAAAGCGTTGATGGCTTTGTGGAGATGTGTCCGAGGAGCCTCGAGACGAGGACAGGTCCACGCCGTCACTGTCCATTTCCAGACTGGCCGGCTGTAGGGTGGTGTACACGGTGTAAGTACCAGAAGATTTGACCGAAGGACATCTTGTTGCTGATCTGTTTACCACAAAAGACATGCCATGGTCAATTGCAGTTCCACAGAAACTTTCTGGAGTCTTCTTCGGATTCTTTGAGCTACGAGTCGACGAGGATGAACAACTGTTTTCTTCAGCCCAAACATGGTGGACCCGGTGCTACTAGTAACAAGGGCATCCCTACTAGTCACAAGGGCAAAACAACTAGTAGCAAGAAGCTACTAGTAGCAAGGTGCATCGCTACTAGTGGCCAGAAGCTACCAGTAGCAAAAAGCTACTAGCAACAAAAAGCTACTAGTAGAAAAAAGCTACTAGCAGCAATGTGCATCCCTACAAGTAGCAAGAAGCTACTAGTAGCAAGGTGCATCGCTATTAGTAGCAAGAAGCTACTAGTATCAAGGTGCATCGCTACTAGTAGCAAGACGCAGAAGCTACTAGTAGCAAGGTGCATCGCTACTAGTAGCAAGAAGCTACTAGTGGCAAGATGCATCGTTACTGGCAGCAAGAAGCTACTAGTAGCAAGGTGCATCGCTACTAGTAGCCAGAAGCTACCAGTAGCAAAAAGCTACTAGTAGAAAGAAGCTACTAGCACCAAAAAGCTACTAGTAGAAAGAAGCTACTAGCAGCAAAAAGCTACTAGTAGAAAGAAGCTACTAGTAGCAAGAAGCTACTAGTAGCAATGTGCATCCCTACAAGTAGCAAGAAGCTACTAATAGCAAGGTGCATCGCTACTAGTAGCAAGAAGCTACGAGTAGCAAGGTGCATCGTTACTAGTAGCAAGAAGCTAATAGTAGCAAGGTGCATCGCTACTAGTAGCAAGAAGCTACTAGTAGCAAGGTGCATCGCTACTAGTAGCACGGTGCATCGCTAGTAGCAAAAAGCTACTAGTAGCAAGAAGCTACTAGTACCAAGAAGCTACTAGTAGCACGCTTCAACGCTACTAGTAGCAAGAAGCTACTAGTAGCAAGGTGCATCGCTACTAGTAGCAAGAAGCTACTAGTAGCAAGAAGCTACTAGTAGCACGGTGCATCGCTAGCTTCGTGAAGCGCTACTAGTAGCAAGAAGCCACTAGTAGCAAGAAGCTACTAGTAGCAAGGTGCATCGCTGCTAGTAGCAAGAAGCTAGTAGTAGCACGGTGCATCGCTACTAGTAGCAGGGTGCATCGCTACTAGTAGCAAGAAGCTACTAGTAGCACGGTGCATG